CTCTCTCTCTCTCTCTCTCTCTCTCTCTCTCTCTCTCCCTCTCTCTCTCTCCCTCTCTCCCTCTCTGTATATCGATCTCTCTGAAACCTCCTCCGGTTTTCGCTGTGCAGTTTGTTCCCGGGTGCTGCGTGTACGCGGGATTTTTTGGCACCTCCAAACGCACTCTCTTTCCGGCATGCTTCCTGAGTGTTCCCCAGTACGGCGAAAGAACGTCACAGCCTAACTAACCACGGTGAGCACGCCCAAGACCTCTTGACAAGTCTCCCTCCCTGTTCTTGCCGCGTCGCTACTGCTACTGTGACCCCAGCACACTGGAATATGCCGGAACCCCGCCTCAAGCGACCCAGGGTGGCTAGACCGAGGGCGGGGGGCGTAGCAATTGCCGCCGCCGCTGCCGCCGCCGTGGACAACCCCCTCGATGCGAACGTGGACATCGTGCGCTGCCTCGCGGACTTCGTCCACGACGAGCAACACCTCTTCTTCGCGGGCGTGTCCACCCTCTGGCGGGAGGCCTGGGGGCGCCGCCCGACCTCCACCCGGGCGATCACGGAGCACGTCACCCCGTCCCAGCTGTGTTGGAGCTTCTCCTGCGGTCTGCGGAAGCGCGCCGAGGTGTGCGAGGCCATCGCCGGCTTCGGGAAGCTGGAGGTCCTCAAGCGCGCCCGGGAGCTCAAATGCCCGTGGGGGAGGAGCACCTGCATCGCGGCGGCCACCAACGGGCACCTGGAGGTGCTCATGCACGCCCGGACCAGCGGCTGCGCCTGGAGCAAGATGGTGTGCAGCCAGGCGGCAAGGGGCGGCCACTTCGAGATGCTCAAGTGGGCGCGGTCGTACGGCTGCTACTGGAACAGCTGGACGTGCCAGATGGCCGCCGGGGCGGGCCACATGGAGATCCTGCAGTGGGCGCACGATAACAAGTGCATCATGTCCTCGCACACGTGCAAGTCGGCTGCCAGGTATACGGGGAGCAACAAAAAACAGGTGGCACGACGATGATATCATGAGGTCCCGTTGACAGCAAACAGAGCGACGACCAATTAAACCCCGTGTTTACTTGGAGATGAGACGATTTGGAGGTTAGGCTCTTGTGTCCACGACAGAACTATTTTGACGGAGACCACGAAAATCGGAGGCAGAGTGTGGGTGAGCACTTGTTCCAAAATTTTCTATCATCGTTTCTTCCTGTTAGCCTCAAGGTCTGGGCTCCCAGGTTCCTTACGGTCGGCGCATTCTTAACGAGGCAACAAGCACTCAGTGCCGGGAAAACAGTAACTTCTGATGAACACAATTTCTTGGTGGTCAAACTACCCCGACTTGTCTTGTTTTCGGGAACGGACGTTCGCCTGTGCATGAACCTTGTTTCTGGCAGGTGCCAGCACGACGGCTCGCCGCCGTAGGCCGATCTTCCGCCGATCTTACTCTCTCACACTACTCCCGGCCCGGGGCGCCTTCGGACTCCCCCACCCCTCCCCCTATTTCCAGACAACCACAGAAAAGGCGAAATTGTTGCCCTAGCACAGCAAGGGGGGTCAACATGCCGCGTTTCGGCGCGGGTTGCTTGCTGATTTGTTTCTTATAGAGCTTGTTCTGCCCCACCCCCCCTGTGTGTTGCGACTCCGGAGACAGAACGCTTACCGGTGGATATCAGCGCAACCCAAAAAGAAACCAAGGTCTCGTTCACCGCGTTTGCGGATGAGTCGTTTCTCAAGTTCCCGACATGGTAACCGCGCGGAGCATTTTGCGTCCGACTCTCGCATCCAGGTCTGGGCACCTCCACATCCTCAAGTGGGCCAGGGAGAAGGGCTGCCCGTGGGACCACATGACGTGCCGCGCGGCGGCGGAGGGCGGGCACTCTGAGGTGCTCCAGTGGGCGCGACAGAACGGCTGCCCGTGGGACAGCTCGACGACTCGCGCGGCGGCTCGGGAGGGCCACCTCTCGCTCCTGCAGTGGGCGCGGGCGAATGACTGTCCGTGGGACGATGCGGTAAGTGCGTGATTGTTGTTGCAGGGGACGGGTGGGCCCGCCGAAGGTACTTGAGGGGTCGAGGTTCGATACCTTTTTTTTTTCGTCGCCACCGTCTAGCGCAGGTTATTTGTGGGTGATACCTTTTTTTTTGTGTGGGATCTACCGCTGAGCGTTGGTTCCTGTATCGCTATGTGTATTTTAGTTTCTTTTGCGGCCTCTACTTGACGGAAAATGATTCTGCATGTCAGGTGGCCTTTCCGCGCATACCCTATATCATTGATGTCAGTGAGAGTTCTGATCCTCGCCCTTTTTTCGTCCATCATGGTGTGCATGGTGGATTAAAATGTTTTTCCCCCGGCCGACGGGTAGCACGGACATTTTTGCTCTTCAGACTTCCGATGCTGTAAATATGGTTGCATACCGAACGCCGGACGTTCCCGCAGGGGCAGAGGTTTCAGCGTCTCTGTGTCAGACGGATGTTCGGAGGAGTAGAACGAAAAAGATCGGGCTCGGTTGGAAGGGCAGTTATCTCATCGGAAGTCTAGGGCTCTTACCGGAGGCACAAAATTGTTTCCGCTCTCCTCTCCTATGCGCCAGAATTCTGAGGTTCGTCTACTTTTTCCTGTCCTCTTGGTCCTTGCTCGTGTGCATTTCTCGAGCATGACGTGGGACGCAAGTCCGCTTGACTTTGAGCCGGGCACGCAACTCCCAATTGCTCGTCCGAACCAACCTCGCGGCGCACACTGAGCCACCCCACTCACACCCAGGCTGTCGTCACAGCGAGGCCGGGGATATGGATTAGTCTACCTATCTCTTTTGGATACCGTATATGACGCAAGATAGCACACACTCACTCACGATCACGTAACCCCCGCAGAAAACCGCACCCGATGGTAAATAGTATTTTTCGGGTCAATGTGAGCCCCGAACAAACAGATTTCCCTGGCATCAAGAAAGAGGGCTAAGTAGTATTGCACCCCACATACACATATTACACACACTGGTGACAATTGGTTGGGAATCCACGGTATTTTGGCCAAGGGGTGTATTTTTGTATCTTTATTCGGAGAGTATGCTGGTAGTTCTCGCTCCGCCCTCTGTTGGGAGGGAATCTGCTTGAGGACTCGACAAGCCTCCAAGCCCCTCTTTGCTCGTGAGCTAGTTGCCACAGATTCACGTGTATGAAGCAATGGAATCAGATGGGGTGTGATGTAGCACCAAAACTCGCGTCCGAGGCGGTCGCTGCGACTATGGTTGTGACGTTTTCTGGCGATCCCGATGCATGGGTGTTGCGCGATTAACCATGTCGTATGCGACACGCATCACCATCAGGCCGAAGAGCTTCCCCCCACGCACACGTGTAAGACGCGCACGCGCTCAGAGGCGTGTCATGATCTGTCATGATGACGGGTTCTACAGTATCTGCAACGATCTAGCGGCTTACTGTTTCGGTTCAAGCATTCCACATCCTCATAACAATTCGCTTGATGCAAGGCAGACCCGAACTCGTACGAGTGGTAGTTTCTTTTTTCATGCGTTTTTCTGCGTAGAGAAGGATCGTCGAACCTTCATTGATGTCTCCGAATATTCACGTCTCCTCGCCTTGGTGGTGTACTGGATATTTCGGCGGGTGACAGCAGTTCTCGACCAAATGATTTGTATCGTGCAGCACACCTTGTTCGAGTCTTCACTTTTGGTTCCAGGCGTTTTCTCACCCCGACGGTATATCTCGTGGGGGGGCATGCCGACTGTGCGCAATTGATGGGGTCCTGCCCGCATTTACGCCGCGTTTCTACATACCCGCCATTTGTTTGTCATGACAAACACATCCTAAGAACTGACGGGCAACCTTTCGAGATAGTTCCCTAGTCTTTTATTCGAGACATGCAAAACCCCGATCACACGATGATTCACTGTACGCTTCATGCTTTCTTCACCCTCGTTTTCTCCACCTGTTCGTGATAAGTAGCCTGCCTGAAATATGTTCACCAGGTCGATCCTCTCGAACACTCGTCATATTAAAAATACAGGTTGCCACGAGAGACGGGAAGTATGGCTGGATATCCAGCCAATCAATGCTGTATTTTTCCCGTTCGGAACCGTTTGATGCGTCGGATTTATTCCCTTCCCTCTACCCAATTTTTTTTTATTTGGGAAGGCATTGTGGCTTTCACCGTACTTGCTCATCCGAAAGGAGAACCAGCGGGTGCCTTCTCAGAACTTTGAGACTATACTAGATGCCGGTTTTTTTTTTGCCTTCCTGTTTTCGCACGCAACCCACCCGACAGGTTTGCCGAGATGCAGCCAGGGCGGGCCATCTTCACATTTTGAAGTGGGCCAGGGCCAACCACTGCCCGTGGGGGGAGTATACTTGCCGAGAGGCCGCCCGGGGGGGGCACCTGGACATCCTCAAGTGGCTCCGCTCCAAGAACTGCCTGTGGAACCACCGCACGCCTGCCTCCGCCGCTTTCCACGGGCATCTGGATATCGTAAAGTGGGCGAGGCTCCACGGGTGCCCGTGGGACGAGATGACCTGCAGCGCCGCCGCGGGGGGAGGGCACCTCAACATCCTCCGATGGGTGCATTCTTGCGGCTGCCCTTGGGACTCACAGACCATCAAGAGCGCAATTACCCACAAGCACCGCAAGGTTGTTGAGTGGGCGCTTTCGCAGGGGTGCCCGCCCCCCTGAGCACAGAAGACGATGGCGATCCACCACGCTGCTTAGAGAGGGGGTGGCAGAGACAGCTTATTATAGTCTTGCCCTGAAAGAACGGAGTCCTCCGAGATCTTTGAAGGTTGTGCTACGTGGTCATGTGCATGCATTCCCGCTTGCAACCATGCGGCTTGATCTTTGTGAAATGAAGGAGTATCGAGATGTTCAAATGGTCAGTAGAAATATTGCTGTTTGGCACGTTTGGGGTCGTGGTCTACGACACCCTGGTGTCATCTCCTCGACCCGTGACGACAATAAACCAACATGCCAAACTTCTAGTTCGTCATCGGCGGATGTTGTGGTTGCGTCTTCGTGAGCTAGCAGATTCACGAAGGTGACGTAAGCATTAAGTAAGATAGTAAAATGTGTGTGTGTGTAGGCCTGTTCACATCTTCGGAGTGATAACGGGCGACATCTGTCTGTGGAACTGACTAAATGTATGTCCGTCGTGGGCATTCCAGATGTAACTTTGTTGTGTCTGTCCTGGTTATTTGAGACGATTTATATACCCCGTGCTAGGGACCTCTAGAAAAGTTTGCGCTTTTCTCGAATACGCAACCTTTTGGAATTGTATTGGATGTGTACCGTGATAGCCCTCCATTTTTGAAACTGTGGAGTGGTAGAGTGGTTCGGGCGAGGAGGGGTCGAACATGATTGGATGCTTTGGGTCCAGAGTGTTGTCCTGTATCATAGGAGCTTATCGCTGAGACTGAGTACGCACGAAGAGTTGAGTCCATGGATGGGTGCACTCCTGGTATTCAAGGCAAGGGACACGTTTCATTTTCAGTGTTCCTTCCCGTCGGTGGTGGTGCTCGTCGTTCCTTGTCTGCGATTGATTGTTGTTTTTGCCCTCCCAAAAAAAATCGTTCCGACCGCTTCTTACAGAGGTATAGTGCCTCCTTTAAACTCATATGTTCCACCTGGCGCGGGTGCGTTCCGTGTTCGCCACAGGCTATACCTTTCCCCCCGAATGGTATGTTCTCATGACGAGGGCAGGCAAAGTGAAAACAGAAGAGTTACACAAAGTTTTACCAAATCTTCAAGACACCTCACACACACTCATCATTCCTTTTACTCGTACTGCTGTGGGCCGGGGTACAATCACCACGGATTTGAACTATTATGGCGAGACGATAGTTGTGTACGGTGGGGCACATGATGATTGTGGCGCGTAGTGGATGATACACCACACCTGCATCTTCATTTTGCGGCGCCTCAATTTACACCGTCATCATCATGAAATCAAACAGCCGATGGTGGTTCTTGACGTACGTACGTACGTGTGTTTTTGCCTGCCGAAGTGCCCACGAAGCCTCCATTCTCCGGATACTACGTGTAGAAATAACGGCGATCCATGTGCGCACATGACCCCGTCATTCCTATTTTTTTGTCACCGTGCCACCACATCGAGTTTTCCACAATAATTACTTCGTCTTCAGCGTAGCGGCTCAGATCCGGGGTAATCTCGAGCGACTTTTTCCCTCGACGGCGACGCAAGGCGTTGGGTTTGTTTGCTTTATCGGGAAGGATTGGCCACCCCACCCGACTGTGAGGTTTACCCTACCCTTGGAGATCAATCGCGCAAAAATATTTTAAAGGAGTCGAGGAAAGTATTGTTTTCGCGGATGAGTGCGGATCTGCGTTGTTGTTGGTTGACGTGGGTCGAAGTTGCCCCGCAAGATCGTCCCCTCACCGTCGAATTCTTCTTTTTCTTGACACAATGTAATGACTTGCTGCCTGGTGCTGCCTTTGCGGCAGCTACGCTACACACCTCAAAGAGGGCCCGGCGGTGAAAGAGGGAGGAGAGAGCAGCCGCAGGGCCAGGCAGCAATCGAGCGCTGTGGAGGGTAGGCGGTCTCTTTTCCTGATCCTCTTCACCAACGATCCCAGACCTACAGTATAGACAACCGCACCACCGGCTCCCGTACGTAGGTTCAACCGGCGGCCGGTCTGTTCACTCCCACTCTTTCTTTTTCGGCAGCAAAGCACCTAACTTCCAAGTCGGACAAAGCGCCGCAGATCGAACAAGGAACACACGACGGTCGGTGAGTGGCAGGGAAAGAAAGAGGGACAGGAACAAGCAGAGAGGGGGGATAGAGAAAGCTGACACTGGGATCCACAGAATGTAAATCCGGGTCGCTCTCGGCAACATGACCGGGAGTAGAATGGGAACATGTTTGAGATGTTGGTGTGGGTTGGGTCAGCAGCAGATATGCAGCAGATGCACACAAAGGGGGTACCCACGAAAACAGCGTCCAGCGCTTACAGTAGATATCTCATGGCCGCGCTGTAAGCAGAGTCTTCAACCCTGCCGACCGGATTGCTGCTGCCTACATAGCACACGAGATGGAGGGAAGAAATTCACCCGTTTTGTGTTTCCGTGCTGCGTGCCGTCCTCACGTCAGCATGCAGTGGCACTGAAGACCCTTTCCCTTGGTGTTATACAGCATGTATGTAGTTTCAGATGCCACTGCATGTGCTCGTACAGCAGTAGTAGCCTCACTTGCTGCCCCCGCTGCCCTACAGCAGTGTTCTCTCCGCTCTCAGAGACCCGTTTCCCTGCACGGACTCCGTTGTGTGTTCATTTTTTCCGGTGTGTACCCGTCACGGGCGGATAGGTTTGGATAGGTTAAGGTGCTATTCTACATTTTGATTTGGACAGATTCGCGGAGGTGTGCTGCATCACCTAACCCTTCATGTGCAATCAGGTCTCCCGACGCTGGATCAATATGACATGCTTCCCCCATCTCGGTCGCGCGCCTAACTCTACATTATGTTTTTTGGGCCTTCTGTTTCATTGTTGCGCTATGGTCTTGTGTCGGACACAGTTTTTGAGCAATAGTGTACAGCAGCAGTGTCGCCATATGTTGTTCCGGGTACTGTACCGACTTCTCTACAAGATCCACGCTGAACCCTTCGGGACTTTAAAGTTTTTGCTAACACGAGGCTGAGTCTGTCAGGGTGGAGAGGCTATGCTCTGCAGTTATACAGCAATTTAGTGTATAATACGCTGGCTATGTACTTTCTAGTTTCGCCTATTATCGGATAGCCCGTCCAACCCACAGCAGGGGGTCAGGGATCGAGTCCCAGCATACCCACGTCTTTTTCCCGCATCACAGTAAAAAGTTGGGCACTGAGAGCAAGACACTACTGTGTGTACTGTTATTTTCTCTGAAAAACGTACTCACACCTTTCCTTGTTCGCAGTAGCAACGTATGGCAAAGGGGGCTACCCATTTAATCAAACAAAGTAGCGAAACCGGTAATGGCTATAACTTCTTTGGTGAAGGGGATGACACTAGTCGCACACCACGTGCAAAATCTGGGCCAGGGTGTTTCTTTTTTAAGCCGGCCTTCATATCTGATGAAGGTCGAGAATTATTTCTCATTAACCCGGACCCTTCCAACCACCTCTTGGCGGCGCCAATCCGTGCAGGTGACTACCCCGGAACCTTCCGACACACGCATAGAATGGGTGGTGGCGAGAAAAGCGTGAAAAGAAAGGGCACAATCGGCAGAAGCAGTAGCGGCGACGGCAGCAACAAACCATCCAGCAACATTAGCGGTCAACACAACAGCAGAAACGACAATGACAACGGCACCAAGAGTGACAAGAGTGACAAGATGAGTGGCGACAAGAACACGAAGAAAAACGGCAAGGGTTGCAGAAACAAGGGCTTCGAGGACGACGACAATGTTCCGGCCGGCTCGTGGGTCCAGCACCTGCACAAACAAGGCTACATGTTCTGGTGAGCACACACAGTCACGGCATCCTCACCCGGGAGGCCTACGCGGGACCCTTTCCGTCCGGTGAACGATGCATGACCTACAGTATGTACACAGACCGATATTTTTCAGCACCCCCACTGTTTAGGTGACGTTGTATTTCTGTAGCCTTGCCATCGAAACTCACGGTCAAGTCCGTGTATTTCACTCATTATTTTCCTTGTTTCGATGCCATTGTCTGTGTATTGTACCGGTTCAACCACCCGCCACAGTGCGATGGTCACGATGGCACCAGCCCCGCTTCCACGCACGATAAAGAAGCATCAACACTGGTAACGGTTGTCGGATTCTCTCCTCGAGGACGTCTGCCAAAAGCTACCACGCTATAAGCCCCGTCGCATCATGTTTATCCGGGTTTCCACTCTCTCCTGGCTATTCCTTGGATATCGTGGTCTGTGTTCGTTGTCCTGCTTGCTTTCTTTTCGTTGTTGGACATACAGGCGCAACAACCACACAGGAGAGTGCACCCGCGATCTCTTCTTCGGCCCATGGGGATCCTACCCGACCGTGCAGTACCGGGAACTCGTCCCTGCCTCTTTCGCGCCGACATTCGTCGACAAGAATGAGGAAAATGCATCCGCAACAGTTGACAAGGGCAAGGGCAAGGGTAGCAAGAAGGACGACGAGGAGCAGCAAGGGCCGCCCCCTGCGATCTGGTTTGTGAGTCTACTACCAGAGGCAGTCTTGAACGATGTCCGTGTTTCCCTTGACCTTTCTTGGGCCCGTTTTTCGTCTGAGTCCACGGCTTGGTCCCGAGCGCCAAAATTGCCTTACTGTAGAGATTGTTTTCGTGCCCTGTACCGCTCCTGATCCCCCCCGCTCCCTCCTGCTACCCTTCGAAATCGACGCCGAAAACCACGTTGCCATCGAACGACGGATCGCATGTGCAGCTCCAACCGTGGGAGGAGATCTACCATCCGGTGACCGGAGAGAAGCACTGGCGCCACCGCGCCGTGAGTGGTCTCATCTCTTGGTTTGTCGCTCGCGCTATTATATGGTATACATAAAGATGTTAACCTCTTCGGGCTTGGACCTATTTGTGCGTGCTTTGTCGGCGTGCTACATGCCGTGGATTTCCCTGACACAGCGCGTTCACTTGTTCTGTGGAGGACGGATGTGCTTGTTTCCCCCAATATTAGGCTTAAGTCCGACTTCGCGCCTCAGCGGTTGACTGGTTACTTGCATCTACCACAGGTGGTACCTAGATTGATCCGGGCTAAGTTGATGGGGCTCGATCGAATGTGTTCCGCTCCCCTGTCCTCACCCAGACGTTCGGGTGTTGCCCCACAAAATATCTACATATAGCGAATCTTATCCACCTCGTTTGCGATGATTTTTCTGGGTCCGTTCTTAGGAAGTTGGCACGTGGCCACGGAAGTCGTGTCAGTACTGATGTTAGAGGGTACCTCTGAGTACAGGAGCGATTTTTGATGTGCAGACAGCGCATTAAAATTGAAGATGGTAACATCGTCAACATCTTTCAAGAACAACAATTCACAATAACGATGCACCCGACAGGGCAACCCCCATCATCTTGTTATCCGTGCATATACCCCCTATTCCCCATCGCGCCCACCCACTCCCCCCCGGTTTTGGCTGTCTTTCAGACTGGGGAGGAGAGGCAAAAAGATCCCCTCTGGTAATTGTGAGGCTTGCTGAGAAATCGCGACAGGAGATCAGCAAAGGAAGGAGTGGGAACGGAACGACCCTTGGACAAACGCGGCACAGGGACCAAATTTTCTTTCTACCGGCGGTGCGGCATGGTGTAAGTACAGCGGATTTCACACGCAAGAGAGTGAACCAATGAGAAAATGTTACAGGTATTGAAAGGATAATGAAGCCCATTGGCTATCCAGGTTTCGTCTATTTTATCGATTTTGACGGCGCTGGTGGGGATGGTCGTCTTTCGGTAGGGCATGATGCGCTGTACAGGCTACGTATGAGGTCGTGCTAATAGAACCTGTTCTTGAACACCTCTGTTTAGCGCAATGAAGCGTGCTTCAATACTGGGGGATTGTTGTCGAGGGGCGCTTTGGTTCTTTTGTACAACCGGCGGATCCATACGTCGTGCGGTTACGTTTTTGAGGATTGGAAAATGGGTACTAACGGGCTGATACAACAAAACGCGAAGCCGTGGATACCAGGCTAGCAAATTACATGATCGACAAAACGAATGACATGTTCGCGATTGTGCAACGTAGCAGCAGTGGAAAGTATCCTTCCAGGGAGGGGAGGGAGGGGGGGGGGGGGGGGGGAACGGGTCACGTGATATGTGTGTGCCTGTATGGTGATGGCCAGTATTCGTTTCGATCATTTTTTCTTTCTGTAAGTTATGACAGGGCCGGGCAAATGTGGATTGGTGTGCAAGCTTCCTGCCATCCCTCCTCAAGGTTGGGGATAGCTCAGCAGGCAAGCACCATCATCCTTGCGAAAACGTTAGAGCCCCCTTTAGGTCGTCCGTTGGTCAGTTGAAGGTGGTGGCTGAATGTGCATGTGCCAACAGATATTTGTTAATAGTTCTGTTTACTCTATTTGTACAATGTTTCTGGTCCGTGGCGAAGTGCAAATCGAGCGGTCTACAGTTGGAGTCATGGCGAAAGCGTTTGGTGCGTTGCTTGCAAATAGTCGCCAACGCCGAATAGTTCAACAAGAAGCATGTTTTTAGGGATGCCACAAGGGGGCGAGGGGGGGAGTCATGGCTGCTTGACTTTGTGAAAAGACTTGAACGTTGAAGAATCGTGCGCCACCATGCTCTGAGCTGTAGTAATGACAACTATAAAGTATTGATTCGATAGACAAATAGACTAAATGTCGCTGTACAAAGAAACAGGCATATTCGGCGCTTCTCGATATGCGTATCTATTCATTGTTTGCTGGGTGTTTCTTGTTGAATCAGCCTATTTTCGGTGCATTCTTTGTTTCGACTTGTACATCTTCTGCAAAGGTTTTGGTAGAGGCGAAATCTCAGGGTTGTCGTCGGTCCTGTAGTTGAACCCATCGCCGGTCGTGCGTGTCCTTGACTACAGCGTAGAGCCTGAGTGAGTATCTCCTATAGGCATTCATGTTTTCTAGGTACCAAAGCGTTTATCGTGTAATTTACAGCATTGAACCTGTCCTTGCAGGGTGAGACGCTCCTGGGGCTCGTCGTAGGCTGTCTGCCTGATCGCTCCGCGTGGATGCTCAACATCCAGGCCGGATATTGATACGACGTATATTTCAGGATTGTTTGTATTGTTTATTTCGAAATACAACTATTTTTAATATGTTCATTTGCTAAGATTTTCATCGATCGGTAGGGCTGCGCCGCAATGGCGTACAGTACTGAAGAAGTTTAGAAGCTGTTACAAAACTTTATTTTCCTCGTGTCTGAGGTAGTAGGTGCGGCAACTCACGTTCGCTGGGAGGGTGGAGTTTTTGGCTTTCTTGCTGTCGAAGACAAAAAAGGGGATAACGCGCACGAACTTGAGAAAGCAAGAAAGCAGAGAGGAAGGAGGGGGGTCGGGGGCGGGGGTAAAGGGGGAACGGGATGGAGGGAAAGAGGAGGGGGGTTTCAGTGGGATCGTCGGGTTTCTCTGTAGCATCAACAGATCTCTCCGTTCCGCGCGTGTGTGCAGAGTACAGTAGTTTGACTAGAAGTAGTCTACAGCGGTTTTGTGACTGATGTACAAGGCTTCGTGTGGTCACAGGCTAGCCCAGAAGCATGATTAGGATGAGATGTGATTCTTTGAACTTGATATATGTAGATCTGTGAACCAGACGTACACACGTGTTTGTGCATGACCGCAAAAGTCTGTCTCTGAGAAAACCATTTGCGGCGTTAACTATATACGACAAGTACCGCTGTTTTTCGGTCATCTCCCGGTCGACTGCCGTAACGAAACAACAATGGCGTCATCGGCATTTCGTGCACCATTCGCAAGTCCTGCCTCTGAAGAGGTCTGCCTGTGCATTATTTCCTGTCCCTATTGTTCGATCCACGAAGGCGCGAAGAACCCGCGACTATCCCTCCAGGTGAGGCGTGGGCGTGGGTCGTCGAAGTGTGGTGTCGGTTTCAAGTTTCAGGGAGAAGAATACAGCCTCCAAAACAATATAAACTCCCATTCAAATCTACGGAGCCCCCACGATCTGCCGACTGCCGCCGCGGGACGACGCACCCACGCACCAGCGAGGAGGGAACAGACAACAGGGGCCACAGTTGCTTGCGACAAGCCATAGAGCAGGCGGACTGCTGTGTTTCAGGCAACGCTCTGCAGTGCCCTCTCGGCGGTCTGAAAGAAGGGCTGCTGTGAGCTACATCTGGACAAGAGAGAGTCTACAACAGCGTACAGCAGACCGCCCCCCTTGCGTCTCTGCAACCGCGCAACGCATCGGTCAGCTCTGCCATTGTCGTGGAGGAATCTACTCGGCGGTGCGTGGACTGGATGCTGGCTTGACTGGACCACTCTCTGAGGCGAAAGGTGCGGGGTAACTCTGTTTGGTCACCTGTAGCTGTTGTGATCGTAGTTCGGATAGGGTCGGTATGTATCTCCAGCAACAGCGGCTGATCCACATACATTACACAGCAAGAGATCCGCACGCAACAGCAGCAGCGCAGGCAGCAGTTTACCTCAATCTTGATCGTTGCAGCCGAGCAATGCGGCGGAGCTACTAGTTATCGTCTTCTTCTTCACTCGGAACTTTGACGTACTGACGACTGTAGTGTTTGGCAGAGTGCACGAGATGGCATGGGTCCGTGTGCGTAAGATAACACCTACCCCCACGTACCACACATGGTTGTGGATCTACTGCACCTGCTGTATGCCATGGTATCTGTCAAAATGAGCCCGACTTGTTAATTTACTCCCAGATCGAGATCCAAAGAGTTAAGGCGGCATTTAGATGCCACACACATCCACGCAGGTAGCATGACCGGTGATTACAAGATTTGGAAGCCGCCGTATTGTCACAAGGGGTGTGTTTATCTTGTGTCGTTACACAGCAGGTCATTCATAAGTGAGGGAGTCATATGCATATGCTATTGTACATTCACTGCGAACAGCAAGACCGTGCGTAGTCGAAGCGGGAGGCACTTTCTGAAGCGTTCGAACCCAACACTTGTCCTCTGCTCTCAGATGTGTTCTCGAACACAATGCCTACAAGCGTTTACCGTGCGTGCCCTCACGGCAATGACCCCTGTTACGTGTACTGCTCGCTGTACGCACGCACGCACGCCTCGCTCAACCCCTTCTGCCGTGCTACAATTTTTCTGCGCAATGATGATTTGCTGCATCGCTTGAAATGAACGGCGTGCCGCGTGTACACATACATTCCACAGCAATCAGCGGCGGCGACAGCGGCGGCAGGCGGCGGGAAGATTTGAGGGTTGCCGCGAAGAAAAGCATGGACCCGGCGGAGTTCCAGCGCCGGATCGCCGAGGCGCAGGCCTTGAAGGACGCGGCGGCGGCGGCGGCGGCGGCGTCAACCGCGACCGCAGCCACCACCGCCACGACACCAAACGCCACTGTCGCCGCCGCCTCCGGTACCGCTGCCCCTCAACAGGGCCAGTGGCAGCGACAACCGGGAGCGGCAGCAACGGCAGCAGCACCAACAGCACCGCCAGCTGCTGCTGCGCCACCAACTGCATACCCATACCCTGGCGCTGGGTGTTGGTCTAATTTGAGGAGATTTGCACAGATTGTATGCCGCTACTATGACCCTCGATATCACCACCCAAGAAGACAAATTGAGCGGGCTACACCGCGGCCAC